CAACTTGCAGGAAAATTTTCGGCGAGGTAACGTGATGTAGAAACTTGCAGTATATATCCAACATTCACAGGATTTTTTCAGATTCCTGCGTGTCAACGCAGGAATTCGTAAATTTTTTTTCAGTGGGCTAACACTCTAGCAAAACAGGAGTTCAACATATATGTTTGTCTACACTTACTCGGAAGACTTTATGTATCCGTTCGGGAGCCACGTCAGAACGGGGCGACCATTCTTTGACAAACTAGTTCTTTAATAAATACTAGTGCTGAGTAGGAGGGAAGTTCATTCACCAATTCGAACGTCCTGCCAGAACGAATGCCTTTTTTCGACAGAATGGAAGTTCAAGGAATCCGTTCTTCCATAAATATTAATACCTTGCGGAAACGAGTTTGTCTACTGGTTCGGACGAACTTGCCAAAGTGTGATAATAGAACAGGACTTTCAAGAATCAAATGTGTTATTTATAGCAGTATCTAGTAGTAGGGAGTTATGTACCAGTTCGGACATTCCGCAAGAATCGAAGTTCAACGGTCATGATTTTCTGTACTTTGTAGAATGAGAAGTAAGTATTCCATTCCAAAACATTAAATTTTACAAGTAGTATAGAATACTAAAATTTGATGTTTTCAACAATCACACAAACCCAACAATAATTGTGCTGATGCATACATTAAAAGAGTTCAGCGGCTTGGTCACGTAACTCCGTTGGCAGAGATGTCATGGCGTTACCTTTTTTGCTCATTTTCTTTGAGCATAGTTCCGTCATAAAACGTTGTGGAGAGGTCGGGAACATCTCAAATTGGAGAAAGAATTGTTTTAAAGATTTTGAGATCACCCGTCCTCTGGAAAATGTTTTCTTAAAAATCTACATGCAAAATGGTGAAAGCTACTTTTTACGAAAAAGCCCAGAAATGTAGCTTTCCATATTTTCATCACAGTTTTTCGAAGGAACACTTTCCAGGAGGCAAGAATATAAGATCATACAACAGACGGACGTGTTTTCTCCTCTTGACTATATACTGCTCCAGTTTTTTCTTAACGGTGAAATATTATTCGTTCTTTTTGAGCCTTATACTGCTCTATTTGTTCTGTTTTTTGCTCTGGATAGTGCTTATTTACTGTACTATAAGGTGTATAATTTTCGTCTCACTTCGTTCGTTAATTTCATCTATTCGTACGTTTTATTAATTAGTTTAAACTGACTCATTGATCCATAGTTTATTCAAGTTGTTCTATTGGTCGTCTCTCATCGTATCATCTCTCAGATTCAACCGTTACCAATGTCACATCTGATCATTCGTGCGTATTTGAATTCTCTTACAAAATCATTCGATGATTTACCACACTTAACCAATGATCAATATATGAAGCTGATAGAAAAATTAGCACACCAGATTGATAACTTTTCCAATGAACCGTCAATGGACAGTTCATTGAATTCAGAAGATGTCCCTGTCAGTCGAGATCAATCAAAACAGATGGTAAAGATGATACTTGAACAACATGATCTTCTGGTTAAAACACTCTGTTCTCAACACGTTCCTGTCTTTCCTCTCAATGTGTGTTCAGCTCAATCGGGGCTGCCACAACAAATGTCGAGTCAAACCTCATCGTTGGCGGATAGTCAGATTGGATCGAGTCATACTCATAACACTTTGTCATCCACACCGGTTCAACAGACGGAAATAACAATTTCTTCGCCTAAGAAAGCAAAACAATTTGAATTAGTGACCATAGCTGGATCGAGCATTACTCGAGGCCTTGGTAATAGGACAATCGATTTTTCGAATAAGTCATTTCAATATCATGTTCACACGAAAAATGGTGCTGGGATCGAGAGAATGACTGAGTTTTTCAAAGAAAAACACTTCAAACCATCACCTCGCTTCATTGTTTGTGTTGGCACGACCAATTTGAAATATGACAAACCGAGTGATGCCCTTGATAAAACAGAACTGTTGATCGCGACATTCAAAAACTCGTATCCAAATTCGAAATTAGCTTTAATCACTCTATCTTCAATGAATATTTGTGGCCTGAAAGCCTCAGTTGAGGCTCTAAACGAGGATATAAGAGAATACAATAGCAAATTAGCATCTCTAACTATTAGTATGGGTGTCGACTTGATACCGATTGATTATGATAAGCGCGATA